AAGTATGTTTTTAGTTAAAAGCATTCATTTAAACAACACTTTTATAGTAAATTTTAAAATTGTGATACTGTCAAACGAGTATTTATTTTTAGTCAAACCAGATTATTTTAGGTAAGTGATAAACAATGTAAGAACTTTTATCCTTACAGTTGGGGAGGGGAAGAAACACAAAGGTTTCTTTTGACTTGGCTGGGAGTTGTTAGCAGTTATGGAAGTAATCATCTCTTAGCCTCATCTTATGAATTTCTGCCAGAGATTTTGGCACACATCCATAACTATTAAAGATGTTTTGTAGCTAACCTAACTTTAAAACAATCACCGACCTCAATCAGCAGACAATTTTATTTGTTTTCCTATTTAACTTGTTCTGGAAAATTGAAGGGAAAATAAAAATCAGTTCAAGAAAGCAGCCAACAGAGACTATCCCTAACATCTGTTAGTGAAATGTTTATACGAAATCCAACATTTTGTTTTCATAAGAAGAGTTATTGAGTGCAAGTTTTAAAAAATTAAAACTGAATGCCAAGAGTAGGAAGGCTGAAACAAGATAGAAATCTTATAATACATAAATTTTTTATAAAGATTTAGAACTTTGTCTTTAATAAGTTTAACAAAAGTAACCACACATTTTAATTCTTTTTACTTAATTAAAAGCAAACCTTGAAGTAAATAGAATTAGAGGAAGGAAGGTAGCTAGGAGGAGATGCTTAAAAATCACATAAATAAATATTCAACTACCTAGTTATTAATTCATGAAAACTAATCCTCATTTTAATTTTTGTTTTGTTTTTACCTTTATAGTTTTGCCAATTCAACCAATCCTCACTTTTTTAGTGTCTGGGACACATTATTTTTTTCTGTTCAAATATATACATATAAAAATTATGAGGGACTTCCAATCTGAAGTTAACAGTTGTTATTTTCCATAGAACTTTTAAAGTGATTTTCGAAAATTTAAGAAACTTTTCTCAAAGGAATGTTAAGCAAGTGGAAAAATTGAAAAGGTGGGAAATGAGTTAACCCAGTCCTAACCTTCCAACCTCAGACTGAATGAATGTTCACCTCGAAGGAAAGCTGGCCCAAGCCTCCTCAAGAAAATAAACACGCTCAGCGGGCCCTGCAGAGTTTGGAAAGTTCAAAGATATGATGATGCGAAGGGAACACAGAAGATCTTTTCCTATTTTGCCCAGACTTTTCCTTCAGCTTGTGTCAAGGGAATATGAGCCTTCATTGTTTTGTCTAAATAGTACTAAAATCCTTTAAAAATGACAAACACCAGTCCTCATTGGAATTTCTCTGGGGGCACTAATTTACATGTTGCTAAAGGAGAAAAGAGACTTTTTCAAAGTGTGCTTTGAAAGTTTCACAGAATAATGGTTTGGAATCAGAATCACTGGCAAAAAAAAGAAAATCCTATTATTTAGATGTAGGCAGAAAGCAACAAGAATACATGAGGCCTTGGCTTCCCCAGCTCACTTAGGAGGGATCTGGCTTGGCCTTCCCTTCCTCTGCTCTCTGAAGATCCGGACCCCGCCTGCAGACTATGGTCTACACAATAAAACTGGGGAAAGAGAGGAGAAGCTGGAAAAGAAAGGCACGGGGGCAGGGGGAAGGGGGGGAGTTAGAGGAACATGGTACATATTCTGGTTTGGGACAGAAGTATATGGGAAGGAGAAGAAGGTTATTTAAAAAGATTGCTTAGACCCCTGCCTATGAACCAGGAGGTCATGGTTCGATTCCCTGTTAGGACACATGCCAGGGTTGCGGGCTTGATCCCCAGTGTGGAGTGTGCAAGAGGCAGTTGATCAATGATTCTCTCATCCTTGATGTTTCTGTCTCTCTCTACCTCTTCTTTCCTCTCTGAAATCAATAAAAAAAAAATTTTTTTTTAAATGGTACACTACCAGTTTGCCCACCCCTGGCTTAGACCCCTGCCTATGAACCAGGAGGTCATGGTTCGATTCCCTGTTAGGACACATGCCAGGGTTGCGGGCTTGATCCCCAGTGTGGAGTGTGCAGGAGGCAGTTGATCAATGATTCTCTCATCATTGATGTTTCTGTCTCTCTCTACCTCTTCTTTCCTCTCTGAAATCAATAAAAAAATTTATCTTAAATGGTACACTACCATAGAGAATTGTTGTAAGAGTCAAATAAGTTAACATTTGTAAGGTGCTAGGAATGTCGCCTAACATCTAAGTGCTTAATAAATGTCATCTATTGTTCTTTCTCCTTCCTTCCTTCCTTCCTTCCTTCCTTCCTTCCTTCCTTCCTTCCTTCCTTCCTTCCTTCCTTCCTTTCTTTCTTTCTTTCTTTCTTTCTTTCTTCCTTTCTTTCTTCTTTCTTTCTTTCCTTTCTTTCGAGAGGGGTTGCCCAGGGATTGAACCCGAAAACCTAGGTATGTATGTGCCCTGACCAGGAATCGAACCTGACACCCTTTCAATGTATGGGGACTTTCCAACCAACTGAGCCACACCAGCCAGGGCTATTGTTCTTTCTTAAGAGCCAATTAAAGATACAATTCTCCAACTCACTTCTTTCCTCTCTACTC